TTGCTTTTGCTTGGCTCCCAGGGGACTGGGGGAACCACCCGGGGCGGTTTACACTGCCCGGCCCCTTTAAGCTAAGAGAGTAAGAACCCTTTCTAGGCAGAGCCTAGGTAGGGAAAAATGATCAAACAATTATCCCAGTGCGACCCTACCTAGGAGTTGGAGCCCCTCGGAAAGCAGCATTAGTAGTAACAGTAAAGCTCAGCTAAAGCTAAGCTAAAGCTAAGCTGAAGCTGAGCTGAAGATAAGCTGAAGCTGAGCTAAAGCTAAGCTAAAGCTAAGCTAAAGCTGAGCTAAAGCTAAGCTAAAGCTAAGCTAAAGCTAAGCTAAAGCTAAGCTGAAGCTAAGCTAAAGCTAAGCTAGAGCTCAGCTAAAGCTAAGCTGAAGCTAAGCTGAAGCTAAGCTGAAGCTAGGCTAAAGCTAAGCTAAAGCTAAGCTAAAGCTAAGCTGAAGCTAAGCTAAAGCTAAGCTAAAGCTAAGCTAAAGCTAAGCTAAAGCTGAGCTAAAGCTGAGCTAAAGCTAAGCTAATGCTAAGCTAAAATTAAGCTAAAGCTAAAGCTAAGCTAAAGCTAAGCTAGAGCTAAGCTAAAGCTAAGCTAAAGCTAAGCTAAAGCTAAAGCCCCCAGGGGACTGGGGGAACCGCGGGGCGGGGACTGGGGGAACCGCCCGGGGCGGTTTACACTGCCCGGCCCCTTTAAGCTAAGAGAGTAAGAACCCTTCTAGGCAGAGCCTAGGTAGGGAATAATCCGAAAATAATCAGGGGACTATTTTTTGAGTATTTGTTGGCCCTGTTGGGGTATGTTAGGAGTATTTTCTATTTTTCGTCGAAAATCCCCCTGTAGGGGGACAGGCCCGACGTAACTCTAGTTCTCAAGCTGATATTCCAGGAAGCTTACTGTCTCCATTCGCAGCACTGCTATTGGTACAGGGAGCCCTACGAGGTCCCCGGCGGCAGCCTGGTGGACGGTTTACCGCAAGCACCCAGTTGACCGACCCTTGGAGAGGACACGCGAGAGGACACAAGACCCTTCCGAGGGCCACGTTGCCACAGAACTGCAGGAGGCATGGGTCGCAGGACACAGGACACGAGGGTACCCTCGATACTTCCAGGGTCGACCTACTAATCAGGGCCGCCTGTACATGTCCCCCGATCGAGGCCCGATCGGACATGGGGGGGCGGAGAGGCGGAGGCGAGGGGGGGGCAAAGGCGCGAGAGGGAGAGAGAGAGAAGGAGAGGGGCACGTGGGGATGGAGATCAGAGGGGCGGCGGTGCGGCGGAGGCGAGGGAGGGAAGAGGGAATCAGGGGCGATGGGGGGCAATCACATCAAACAACAACTAAACACAACATGTTTGCCAGCGTGGATCTCAAGCAGTGCGTTCGTCTACTACTATGGATGCTCCACACACGTTGCATGTGGTACAGCACACGTGGTGCAAGATATGTCCTGCAAGCCGTGTGGCCCAGAGTATGTTGTGCAAGCATTGTGGTGCAACATGTGTGTGGAGCAAGCCACATTGTCAAATCTATGGCTGGCAAACCCGGTGGTGCAGTGTCTGCGGTGCAAGCGGTGCCGTGCCATCCGTGTGGGACAGGCTAAACGGTGCGAGGAGGAGGGGGAGGAGGAGGAGGAGGAGGAGGAGGAGGAGGAGGAGGAGGAGGAGGAGGAGGAGAAGGAGGAGGAGGAGGAGGAGGAGGGAGGAGGGAGGAGGGAGGAGGAGGAGGACGTGGCGCGGCATTCGGCGGACCCCACGCAGGGCGCCCACGGGTCGAAGCCTCGGGGGGGGGCCCGGCCCACGCACGACGACGCCGGCGAGGCGCCCACGAGCGCCCACGAGGCGAGACCTCGTCGCACCCCTCCGCTTCCACAACGACCCGAGCACCGAGACCTGCCTCGAGCACGGCTCGCGGACACGCGTGCCCGACGTGCTCGCCGATGGCCCTCAGTGCGCGCCCTGCGCCGCCGCCGCCGCCCTCGGAGGCGCCCGGAGGGCTCTCGTCGACGTGCAGGAGGACGACCCCGCGGCCGCGCCGCGGGCCTCTCCGCGCTCTCTTGCACCGGGGGCGGCGATGGGGGCGAAGAGCCCAGGGGAGAGCCGTGCAGGCACCCAACAAAACGACGCGAAGATCGGGACAAAATCGGATCGGGATGACTCGAAATCTCTGAGAATCGGCGGGTTTGGAGGATGTATTGGGCGCCGCGGCCGCTCCAGAGCACTCTGGAACGCTCTGAGAGCGCTCCGGAACGCTCTGGAGCGATTTATCCCGATCCTGGCCCTGTTTTATCCAAGGGCACGATTGTCTTCTCCCGGACGGGGCTCGACAGCTCCTCCCCCCCCTACGGAGGGCGGGACGCCCGGGGAAGGCGTGCATCCGGGGGGCCCATGGCCCATGCCTTCGGCGGGGCTCCTGGGCGAATGCGTGCATCGCCCGCCCCGGGGCCCTCCGCCCCGATCGTCGCCCCCGCGCTCGCGCAAGACGAGGGCAGCGCCCTGCGCTCCGGGGAGCGGCCCCTCGACGTGCTCCTGCGCCCGGGGCTGCGCCGGCACCACCTCGCAGATATCCGGACCTGCGGTGCGCGGTGTAGGAGGTTGGAGAGAGGAGAAGGGGGAGGAGGAGGAGGAGGAGGAGGAGGAGGAGGAGGAGGAGGAGGAGGAGGAGGAGGAGGAGGAGGAGGGGGAGGAGGAGGAGGAGGAGGAGGAGGAGGAGGAGGAGGAGGAGGAGGAGGAGGAAAGAGAAAGGAGGAGGAGGAGGAAGAAGGAGGAGGAGGAGGAGGAAAGGCCTGTGTCAACGCAAGACGCATCAACGATGTTGCGCTAAACCCTCCCTCCAAGTTCCCTCTTCCTAGGTCCCTACAAGAACCTATGTTCATTGCGTGAAGTTGCCGATTAAACATTATCCCAGCAAAGCAACCTAACAGCGATGTGTATAAGCATATCTGGAAGCATTCCCCTTAAGATTCAGGTGAGAATCCAGCTGTAGAATCCTGCTGTTCTCGCAGTCGCAGTCGCATTCGCAATGACAGT